ATATGGAAAAATAAAAATCAAGTTTAAGTCATTTTATTCGACTTTACGTCTGTCCGCCACAAATATTGAAGTCGTAATATCACTAGATAAACGTTTAAAGCACATAAAATCATATTAAAATATATACAAGTATGTACTGTATTTACAGTACACGCATTCGTAAATTTAGATTATTTTTTTTGTACTATATTAAAAACTAAAATTTATTTGTTTGTAAGCTTAAAATAGATTTTTATTAACCATATATTATTTAAAATGCTTTCCTAGTGATAAGTAGATTCGGAGACAGGTAAATTCGACTTACGCCGTTTTTCGACTTACGTCGTTTTCCTGGAACCAATTACCGACGTAAGGCGAGGTATACCTGTATATGATTTAGGTATTTATTACATATCAGTAGAGTTACTGCAATAAATGTATTCAACCAGTAGCCTACTGTAATTAAGAAATATATAAATGAATTATTTTGAAAAATAAAATAAAAATGAAAAATTGATTAACTTATTTTTTCAACATATTATTTTGTACTATTACAGTTTAATTCCTTTAGTTTAATAATGATACAAAAGTATACAAGTTATTGTTCTGAAAATCCAGTGATTTTTCAATATATTATTTTGTACTATTACAGTTTAATTCCTTTAGTTTAATAATGATACAAAAGTATACAAGTTATTGTTCTGAAAATCCAGTGATTTTTAGAACAATAACTTGTATACTTTTGTATCATTATTAAACTAATGGAAATGAAGATTGCTTTCAAATTACTTCATAATAAAATGAATATGAAATGAGTATAATTTTCTTGTTTAATTGAAGTTGATAAAAGAAATACCAAACCAAATTTTTGGTAAAAGTCAGAATAAATTTAGAATTAGTAATGATATTCCATTTTGTTCTACTCAGTAGTTTAAGTTTACTAATTTCATGTATTATATTTCATAAAGCTCTAAATATATACTGTATTAATTTTTAGCTCTGTCTCATGAGAGAGACGAACTCATGGTACTTTTAGATGCCAAAGAAAGAAGAATTTTTCAAAGATCATCATCTCTTTCTTCAGAAGAGAGCAATTCAGAATTTACAAGTCTTGAAGTAGGTTTAAAATTAATTTTATATTTATTAAAATTTTGATAGGTCTGGATAATTAAATTCTGTTTTATGTATTGGCCAGGTACTAGCTGTACCTGGCCATGTATTGCTGTTGCTCAAAACGTATCTATTATAAATGTATAACACTCCCCACAGGGAGAATTTCGAAAAATCCCTTCTTAGTGTACATTCTCTTGACGTACCCTATTAAAACACAATCAAAAACGCAAAAAACTGCATGTAAAATATTATAGAAGACCATTTCTTCACGGTAAGCCTTAATCCTGTCACTTCCCCGCAGGGGATTTTGACATCTACAGTATATAATATAAAAACATGCACATATTTGAATGCAATGTTGTGTCAAAATTTCAAAGTAATCAGTTAAGAACTTTTGGAGATTTAAGATTTTGAACAAACAAACATTTACATTTTTATTTATATCAGTGTTTCTCAACCTGTAACGAATCGTCGCCCCCTTCAACGTAGTATCGCCCCCTTCAATAAAACCGTTATGTAGTATCGCCCCCTTCACTTCAAAATTCCGATGCCGAGGGCCAAGGGTAACGCCAAATTCGTACTACATTGAATAGACTAGTGACTAGTATAATGTTGTTTGTTTAATTATTGTACAATATAACAAATAAAATATCTAATTATTCTTAATATAATGTTTTACTATATCGCCCAGAAAATTGTTTTTCGCCCCCAATATAAATTGTTACAAATCGCCCCTCAACATGGAAAAACGCCCACATGGGGGCAATATCGCCCCCATTGAGAAACACTGATTTATATAGATTAGGAGTAATCGTATTAAACTTGGAATCATTTTGAATAAATAACCTAAAATATTACTAGATGAAGAAAATCAATTTTTAAAATATTATAATGTTTTATCATTTTAAATGTATGAGTATTAGTGTAATGAGTGGCACTAATCACAAAATTAATTTTTAAAGTATTTAGAAAATAATTTTGTCAATAAGAAGTTAAAGTTTTTTCAAAAGTGAGTGGTAATTTGAAATAATATAACATGAATACAGTTTGTTTAATACAGTTTATTTAAGTGTTTCCAGTTTTTTCTTCAGTTTATCTAAAGCAAGACATATTTCTGCAAGTAAGAACAGCAATATATTTTCGCGATTGCGAACAATATAATCTCGATCTAATTTTTGATATTTTATAATGTGGCACCAAGAAAGTTGACATTGGAAATTGTCAATAAACTGTTGGTCAAGTTTTTGGTAGCGAGAAACAAAATTCCAGTTTAGGTCATCTTCTAATTCGTGTAAAGTTGTTTTTTCTAATTGCTGGTATTTAAAAATTTTTTTTATATCAAACATGCATGCATGAAGATAACAATAAAATTATCCGAAACAGTTTGAAATTCCACAACTTTATTCCAATCAAGATGGTCCGAAAAATTGGTTAGGAATTGTTCATCTAATTGCTGGTATTGGCAAATTAAATCCCATTTTGCATAATCAATATGTTGTATGATAAACAGGACAGTGAATTTGTAATTTTTCCATATGTATTCCCAATTTAATTTATCTGAGAATTCCAAAATAAATGTGTTAGATAAATTGTGTCACAGACTGATGATATCCCAATCAACATAATTTTTAAAATGACGAATAGTATGTTCTCTAAGGGTGAAAACAAGAAAGTTTCCCAGCCGATGGGAGGTTGTGAATTGTCTAAAAAGAAATAAACAATTCTTTTATAATATTTGTTTATTTGAATACAGATTTAAAATTGAATGCAAAATAATACTTGAGTACATATACAAAAATAGTAGTTGAGTACATATATAAAATAATACACATTTAAGTTGATTACAATTTTTGAGAAAAGCAATTTTGTTACATTCTCTGAAGCCTTTTTCATCTCTGTCAGTGATGTCTAATGAATCTGTTTCTAAAAAAGTCGAATGCATAATTTTTTCAAAAATTAATTGCGCAATAGCTGTTTCAGGTTCAAAAATAATAATTTCTGGTCCAAAATTATACATTAGGACTCCAATGTTTCCACGATAGTCACAATCGATAACTCCCACATTAATTATAATGTTATTTAGAGATAAAGAAGAATTTGGAGCAATTCTAGCATAACAGTTATTTGGCTTTTCTATAGCCAGATCTGTAAATATTACTTTTTGTTCATTTGGATTAATTTCGAAGCCAATAACACAAAATATATCATATCCAGCTGCTCCCATAGAAGCCTTTTTTGGAATTTTCATATTTTCAGATAACTTTTTAAAATATACAAATTCTAGAAAATAAAATATTTATTTATTATTACATTTTATATTGCATTACATTTTATGCAATTACATTTTATAAAATATTTATTGAATATTGGTAATGTTATTTTATCGTTTATTATGAAAAATTTACATTCATATATTTTAAATACAAATACGTAACCAACATTTCATTATTCACTGAGAGATTTTTTATTAAAACAAACATTTTCAATCCACTCAATAGATCATCATCAGATTAAATGGAATACTTCACAAATAGAACAACAAGTTCAAAATTCAAAAATACCATAAACCGATAACATATCAACTAATAAGAAAAAACAATAAATTGTAAATGATACATACGAGGGTAGTCCCAGAAGTACCCGACCTAACAAAGAAGACACAAAAAATTTGGTAAAACATATATTTATTTTTCAACATAGTTTCCTTTTAGCTCGATACACTTTTTCCAGCAATGTACAATAGCTTTGATCCCCTGTTTATAGTGAGAACTGTCGAGCTTCTCAAAATAGCCATCAACCGCAGACTCCACCTCTTCATTGTTGGCAAATCTTTTATCACCAAGCCATTTTTTTAAGTTTGGAAAGAGAAAATAATCCGAGGGGGCTAAATCTGGCGAATAGGGTGCGTGAGGAAGCAATTTGAACCTTAACTCATTGATTTTGGCCATCGCAATAACGGATGTGTGAACTGGTGCGTTGTCTTGATGAAACAACACTTTCTTTTTCGCCAAATGTGGCCGTTTTTTCTTGATTTCATCACTCAAGCGCTGCAATAAGTTCGCATAATACTTGCCGTTGATTGTTTTTCCTGGGCGCATCCCAAAAAACTGACGCCATGACCTTGCCAGCAGATGGAACTGTTTTCGCCTTCTTTGGAGCTGATTCTCCCCTTTCAGTCCATTGTTTCGACTGTTCTTTCGTCTCAGGTGTGAAGTGATGGACCCATGTTTCATCCATGGTTATGAATCGACGCAAAAACTCGGCTTTGTTGCTGCGAAACATTGCCAAAGACTCGATTGAAACATCCTCACGACGCTGTTTTTGTCCCATTGTGAGCAAACGCGGCACCCATCTTGCGCACAGCTTTCTCATGTCCAAATTTTCAGTTAAAATGCGATGTACAGCACTTTTTGAAATGCCTACCATGTCTGCTAGCTCTCGCACTTTGAGTTGACTGTCATCCAATACCATTTTGTGGATTTTTTCCACCATTTCTGGCATGGTCACCTCACTTGGTCGACCACTACGATGTTCGTCTTGGCAGCTCGTACGGCCTCGTTTAAACTCTGCCACCCAATATTTTATTGTTGTAAACGAGGGAGCAGACTCCCCCAGAGTAGAATCTAGCTCAGCTTTAATATTGGTTGGACTGAAACCTTTCAAATGAAAGTATTGTATCACATAACGATGACAAATTTTTTCCATGTTTACAAATTCACTGAGATTGTTCATTATTTATGGCTGCCAAAAAAATACTATACAAAGTAATGTCTTCAAACTTTAAACTTAAGCTTTATAAGGTTAATACTTTCGAACACAGTCGTTTTTTTTTCAAACAAGTACCGCCATCTATGTCAGGTCAGGTACTTCTGGGACGATCCTTGTATAAGTAAAAATAAATAACAGTATTAATATTTAGTATTTTTAGTATGTCTATCATAACTAAATAGAGTTTCCTTTAAATCATATTAGAGTTCATGCGCCACTTGTAAGTTTTTAACGACATACTTCCATGCTGAGGGAAGACCCTCCACGTCCCTGGCGTTAATGCATCTTTCTTTAAGCATATTTCTGTAAATGTCCATCTTTTCAGCCGTTTTTGCCAAAGTTGGAGAGAGTATCTGTTTCAGGACTTCCACTTCATCCCATTGAACCAGAGAACCTTCTGCTTGTGCCATCTGGGCCAATACTGTTGTATTAGATCCTTTTCTAATATCATACCTGTGTTCTCTGATCCTTACACCTCAGTTTGTAGTAGTAACTCCTACGTATTCTTTTTTTATTCCTAATAGCTGGTTCTCATAGGGAATGTTATACACACATGCCTTGTCTTCTTTTTTAATAACCCCTTTATCGTTTCTAAGAATTTTGTACAAATTCGGAGCTCTTTTCAAGATCACCTTTGCATCTTTTATGCTTGCGATTCCCTTCATAATTCCTCCTAAATATTTGTTGAATGTAAATTTCGTGTATAAATTTCAACAAATATTTAGGAGGAATTATGAAGGGAATCGCAAGCATAAAAGATGCAAAGGTGATCTTGAAAAAAGCTCCGAATTTGTACAAAATTTTTAGAAACGATAAAGGGGTTATTAAAAAAGAAGACAAGGCATGTGTGTATAACATTCCCTACAAGAACCAGCTATTAGGAATAAATAAAGAATACGTAGGGGTTACTACTACAAACTGAGGTGTTAAGGATCAGAGAACACAGGTATGATATTAGAAAAGGATCTAATACAACAGTATTGGCCCAGATGATGCAAGCAGAAGGTTCCCTGGTTCAATGGGATGAAGCGGAAGTCCTGAAACAGATACTCTCTCCAACTTTGGCAAAAATGGCTGAAAAGATGGAAATTTACAGAAGTAAGCTTAAAGAAAGATGCATTAACGCCAGGGATGCGTTAATGCATCTTTCTTTAAGCTTCCCTCGGCATGGAAGTATGTCGTTAAAAACTTACAAGTGGCGCATGAACTCTAATATGATTTAAAGGAAACTCTATTTAGTTATGATAGACATACTAAAAATACTAAATATTAATACTGTTATTTATTTTTACTTACATGTATCATTTACAATTTATTGTTTTTTCTTATTAGTTGATATGTTATCGGTTTATGGTATTTTTGAATTTTGAACTTGGAATACTTCACAAATAGAACAACATTTTATGCTGGGTATGATTGTGGTTAATATTCATATATTTTATTATTTGGCAATTTTAACAATGCTGCTTTATTGCACATCTATTTTAAACACGGATAAGTTTCACTACAAATGTTATGTATTACATAAGTATGTTTTCTTTTATATACTTGTAAAGTACTATATTATTTTTCTGCCCTCTACAACAATTATCGACACGACTGTGTGCCGGAACTAGCCGTTACCTAATGGGTACTTTACGCGGATTCGCTTTAACGTGCCAGGCCTGGACTCTAAGCGTGCACCGAATTAAATAATGACAAAGTTTGTTAATAACAAAATCACATATTTAATAAAAGTTCTGGTAATAAACTATATACAAAATTTAACAAAATTCAAACAACAATTTATTCAATGAAAATCAATAAGAATCAACCCGACAAAACTCAAATCAATCTATTTCCTAACTTAATTCTATTCCCCTTTGGAATTCAACAAAATCAAAGACTTAATTTATGTACAATAATTCTTATGAATTAAAGATACTAATCGTCACCTCAATATACTAGGAACCTATTTCCTCAAACTATCAAGACTTTCTATAATCGTCAATCCACAAATCGAATAACTTCAAAATTGCCTTGGAACTATTTGATCCTATCGGACACCTCTCTCGTTCACTGTTACGAAGCTCACCAAGCTCGTTGCTATCAGAAGCTCACCTCGTTTGTCTTCACTTGAGGTTTACTCTTTATACTGTGAGGTGACATCACAATTCTAAATGCGATCACTCCCCTCATTTACATACTTATTTGCTAACAATAAACTTTTTCTATTTGTCTGGCAGCCTATTTTTTGACAATACTCACTAACCTTTTACATTATTCTTTTTGACAATTTTCGGGATGTTTTTTATTCTTTAAGGTTTAGCAAGTCCCTAAGTTGTACTTGTGGGGTCCTCCCCCTTTTCTTGATGCAGACCTACTTTTTTCCGCTCGGGAGCGCAAATGTGTGCGAGTTTTTTCTACAGTGCTTTTCTCTCATTGGTGAGTTGGTTTCTCTTCTATTTTTAAGTTTCTAAGGTGAATGGTGAGGAAACCTTCATCCTAACAAAACATAAGCCCCAAACAAAAATATAATAAAAAGCAAAATAAAAGTAAATAAAAATAATGCTCGGACTTGGTTCCTTACATACTATTAAAAAGCCATATTGCAAAGAAAATGATGATATCAGAATATCTGCTAGAATTAAAAGTAGAAATTGTAGTGGCTGAATGATACCAACCACATCTATTTCATTATCTAAAATGAATTTTTTATTGTAAAATGGGGAAAGAGAAATTTTATTTTGTAGATATGTTGTTACTACATGATTTTTGCTTTTAATTCCATATTGATGATGTCTTAGTATCTCTGTGTTGAATAAAACTTCTTTATATTTATTGTGATTAAATGTTTTTACAACAGATTTTTTTAATCCCCTTAAAAAATTATTTATATTCTACTCTATTATATAACAACTTCTGAAGATGACTTCTATATAGTCAAAAATATCTCTGTGTTGAATAAAACTTCTTTATATTTATTGTGATTAAATGTTTTTACAACAGATTTTTTAATCCCCTTAAAAAATTATTCATATTCTACTCTATTATATAACAACTTCTGAAGATGACTTCTATATAGTCAAAAATATTTCAGTGAATAAAAAGTTGATATCCTGAATTTAGCAGATGAATGAATTATTTAATTATTTCATTGTTTATATTTTTATACCAAAATCTGATCAGGATAGATTTGAAAAAGCATAGAATTTATTAATACATTTTTACTATATGTGCTTCTAATATATGTTTCTGAAGTTTATGAAATATTTTAGATGTGTGAAGTGTTTAAACAATTATTTCTCTCATGTCATTCAATATTTGTATAAATATAACAGAAAAAAATCCTTTATGTTTTTAAAAAGTAATAGTTATTTATATTTCCACTCAGACAAGATTGCATATAATGTAATTAAAAAAATATAGCTATCTTAAGATAATAATATAATGAAACAAATAATTCATTTTTAATTCTTATAAAATTAATATAGTAATATTGTTTAATTAATAAGTATTTATATGACAATGAAAATTTATTTATTTTTTTTTCAGCTGAGTTTGTTAGGTGCTTGTTCCTGTAGATGCAAAAACCAAGAGCCTTGTAGATGTGCAAGAGCAGCATGTTCTAAGCAAAAGCATATAATTCATTTAAACAAAGAAGTATGTATGTTCAATATAAGCTTCTAATGTTGTAATCTATTAATTAGTAATAAATAACTATGAACACACTGGTCTTATTATTACGATTACAGATTCATCACACCTTTTCAATTTTTATTCATTAACACATGTCCTGGAATGCATTTCAGCTTATTCAACAGTCTTCTTCAGCTGGATTGCATACAAATCATACTGTTCATGAACAGTATGGTTTGATGTTATGATTAAATCTTAAGTTGACTAAAATGGTTGGCAAATTTAAAAGAAAAATATAAATGCATATGACAATGCAAAAGGGAGATCAACAGACAGTTTGATGTAAGATATGATGGTTTCAATTTCATGATGTATTAGAATTGAAAAAGAAGATTAAGAATATACCAAAAGTGTGGTTACAGTGTTTGGTAATTTAACATTAATTTTTATGATTGTTGATAATGTTGTTAATGTTTATGATTGTTATAATGTTGTATGTGGTTAGTTACATAGTAATATAAATTTTGATTTATATGTATATTGTATTTTCATTTATTAGATTCTTACATATGTTTTTAATTATAACACTATGTCAAAATGTATGTATGTAACCCGATTGAAGAGTCAAGCTGTTGACTAAGCTGAAATGCATTCTGGGATATCTTGTGCTAATCAATAAAACTTGGAAAAGTGTATGATGAATTTATAATCACAATAATAACTCAAGTGAGCTCAGTTATTTATTACTAATTAATAAAGAAGTATGTATTTAGTGTAAGAATCATACAAAAACTCCTAGCTTACAAAAGAAATTTTTTTTTCATTATCGTTTTGTTAATCTAATTTTCCATAAGTTAAAATTTGAAACTCCATTTAATTTACCAATTTTACAAATCTTAATTGGTTATCAATAGCAAACTGTAATTAATGTAATTGGCTAATGGACTATAATACAATTGTTTACTATTATTCAAAACAGATTTTATTAGCAGTTTGTTGTGTCTGTCAATATTTATTTGGATTTATTTATTACCATTCACAAATCTTATCTGTGATTTTGATAGATAACGAACATCAACAATTGTTCTTTTTAGGAACCAGAGTTTAAAGGATATGTAATTTACATTATTACCTTGAATAATATGTTTAATTAATAATAAATAATGTAAATTGAACGGAGTTATTCGAGACAATAATATAAACAATATTTTCTATCATTATAGAGTAGATGTTAATATTTAAATAACATTACTTGAATTTCTGCCAATAACTAGTGCTGGATATCCAAGTATTGATGTCTTTCTTGAATATTTATATTAATATTTCCTTTTCATATNTCGTTCGCGACAGGATTGATCGAATCTAGACCAATAGCGGATATTGCACAAACCATTGAGTTTAAACGAGCAGCGGACCTACTAAAAACCATTAATTATTTAACGTCCATAAAAATTATATTTATATTAATGATGTCTCGAAAGTTCAGTGAATTTTTCGTAGAAAAATAATTTATCAGGAAGTGCACGAGCACTATTCGATTCACCGCTCCACTATGAAAACAAGCTTAAGCAATGGCGTGGTCGAACGGTGCACACTCGGTAAGTAATCCTACAATTTTTTGTTTATAGCATAGTTTATATGGATTATTCCCAAAAAATTATACGTATTTTGGAAATGTTGAGTCAAATTAGTCTAGAATCGATTAATTTTATGGAAGAAAACCTTTCAAATAACTGTAGTCCGTAAACTGCAAACGTGCTGGGCTGTGATTGGCTCATGTATTTAAGGACTTATAGAAAATGGATTTCATAAAAACCAAAACGTATCTACTGTGTTATAGGGGGGTTGACTGTATATAATAGGTTATTTTATTTGAGGAGCTTAGCAAGGGGCATCAATACATAAGGGACAGAGGGACATATCTCCCCAATATTTTTTGTACTGCAAAGTGTCTCCTAAGATACATACATATTTTTATTTTATACCATTCTACAAAAATTAGGAGTAGAAAGTTTTTCTTATTCATGGTCATTGGACTGACTTCTCTATATATATGTACTGTACAATACACAGTCTGTAGATTACTAGATTGTTTAGATCATTATAAAAATATCACTGAGCTGATTAGGACAGAGTAAAGAAAAATAGGATGAACATTGCTTTGTAAGAAAGTTTGATACATCAGTTAGTTATTTGGAGTCTCCCAGCTCTCAGGATATGAAAATCATAGAAATTATATTACAAAGTGGGCAGAAAATGGAATTCATTCTTATTCAATCTAATGTTTTTCAAAAATATCCTAAACTGATTACTAGAGCTGCTGTTATGATATACAATTTTTGTATAATTTGTTAAAACTTGTAGTGTGCAAGATAAAAATATTGAAAAAAACAAGGATTCTTACCAGTAAAAATAATAAAATATAATGTAGTAAAAGTATTTTCTAAAAATCCAAACACACACACATAATCTGAGGTTGATCCGAGAAAAAGTGTTTTAAGTGTTTGACAATTTTATTAAAATTATTAGTAACACACTTCTTATTTAATATTCTTATTAATATTATTTGTAACAAACTTTTTAAAACTTCTGGAGTCTCAGCTGAGTACTATGCATTGCTCAGCCAAGATATATGAAACAATCTGTACAAAACAATTCTATTGATTGTACACATGATTTTTAATAAAATCTAATTATTTTTAATGAAATAAAGAATTATTTTGTTTTTAAGCCAAAATTTGGTACTAGCAGATTTTGATATTAAATTATAAGACATTTATTTTAAAATAATTTTCAAACTATAGTAATAAATAAAATTTAAATTTTCTGGTTAAGATTGTCAAGCATAATAATTATAAAATGTTGAAATTACAAGGTTAGATTAATTTTTGACTAAAAAATTTCGCAGTAATCAGAAAAATTTGTTACTGTAGATAGATAGTGCTGCTATCTGTTGATAAATTTATTGATTATAGAAATTTTTAATAATTACAATAAATTAATTATATAATTAATGTATATATATAACTTCAGTAATTATATACAGTATTATAATAGATTTATGAATAATAAATAATCATTAAAATTACAAAAAACTTTTGTATAAATGTAGAATTAATCTGGAAATCTGATTTGACTTGATTCAGATAGCTGAAATGAGAAAATAGTGCCTAATTTAAAGAAGTTTGGAATTATCCTTATTCCAAGATCTAATTTTTGATATTTCTAAATTATTAACCACTGAACAAGATATATACAGTAGAACCTCGATTATCCGCCCTAATTGGGGACTGGGGTTGGTCGGATAATTGAAAAGTCGGATAACCGAAAAGTATGAAAAAATCCATTATTAGTGTAGTATATTATTATATCCCATGTAATTAGTATATTAGTATATCGCTATTAACCTATTTTGCGTTGAATTTTCATCGATGTTAAGCCTAACAAAAATTTTTTAAAATAATAATCGTCGCTATTGTAGCGCCACATCACTAGCGGACATTTGAAATTTGCCGACTAGGACAGTCGGTTAACCGAGGGGTCGGTTGATCGGGGGGCGGATAATCGAGGTTCTACTGTATATATTTACAACAATAGAGATGTACTGATTAATCATTTGCTAATCATTATTGGTACTAATTGGTTCCTCCACCATTTGTCAAATCAATTAATGCCATGGCAGTTTGATGTATCCTATTGCATAATGTGGAAGGTGTTAAAGAAAGTTGATTATTATCTGTTTAAGACTGCAATGCATCAACTTTCTCAGCACCTTTCACATTATGCAATAGGATACATCCAACTACATGACACTACACTTGCCATACTGGAACCTGAAACATTACTCATTGACTGTCCAACAGCTGTTGTTGAACAGTCAATGGTAATGGTTCATAATTATGATTATGATCATATTTAATGATTTGTATAGGTTGAAACCCTTGACCAGGTTGAACTCTCAGATATCCAGTTTCTTTAAATCAAATGATCATTCTTCTGTTTTGCACTAATCTTTTGTGCTAGAATGAAGTGAGGTGTTGTGGAAGATCCTATGCAGCAGTAAGGCATATTTTCATTTCAGTTAACTTTTCCATTTGGGCAATGGAAAACACTCAAGTTTGCCATCAGATTCTATTGTTTTTGTTTAAAGTTAGTCTGGTGTGGATTCATAATCATTGTACTTCTTAAATCACACAGTTTGATAAATTTAGGACTTATCATATAGGAAAGTATCTGAAAGAGAGTGGTAAAATTAATCACGTAGAATTATCATTGTAGAATGCATTTCAGAATCCCCTATTCAGCTACTGACAGTCTTTTAAAACACTGGTCCTGGCATCTAGAATCTAGTCTAGAATCGATTAATTTTATGGAAGAAAACCTTTCAAACAGCCGTAGTCTGTAAACTGCATACGTGCCTGACTGTGATTGGCTTATGTGTTTAAGGACTCACATTCCATTCTTTATGAAATTGATGTTCTATATCTACTGTGTTATGGGGGGGGTCGACTGTATACAAAATTAAAATGATACAAATTTTGTATTTGCTGTAAAATATACAGTGGAACCTTGGTATACGACCTTAATCTGTTCCTTGTGTTTGGACTTATACCGAATAGGACATATACCAAGCCAACCTTTCCCATAAGAAGTAATGTAAAAATGATTAATCCGTTGTCATGTAAAAAAAAAAATGGCTGGCTTTAAACACCTCGCTTTCCTGGCAAGTTCCTGCTTGATTTTTCATGAAATCAGCATGTATCTTTTTAGCTTTCTCGCAAATAATTGCTTCTGATACGCTGTCGCCAGCACACTGTTTTTCAGTTATCCAAAGCAAAAGCAATTTCTCAACATGATCTAATTTCTTCGATATCTGTTTAGAAATTGATTTTAATCCCTTTTGCAATGATAGCAGATTTAATAATGTTTTTATTTTTCATGATTGTCCATATTGCCGTTCTTGGAATACGGTATGAAACAGTTAAATCGCGAACGCGCATGCCACCTTCATATTTCTCAACAATTTCTTTTTCCAGTTCCAGTTTTAGTTTTCTGTTGCTTTTCATTTGCCTTTTTGCAATTCATGATTAATAAAAATAATAAAATTTTACTTACAAATTAAAATCAGAAGAAATTTAACAAAGTTATAAACTGTGGCACTGCGAACGTCTAGTCTGGTCTAATAGATTGCGCATGTAAAGTACTGAACGTATTGGCCTTTTAACAGAGGAAACAAAGGAAGTGCTGA